CGGGGCATTCAACAACGTTAGCACGGACGCAATAATGGATCGCCTAGAAGCGACCAACTCGTCCCCCGCTATCAACTTGTGTATAAAAAATCTTCTAAGTTGCCGGCGGGTACAATCAGATTGGGGCACCGCTTCCATGGTGAGAGGAGCGCACAGAGGCACGCTCCAAGGTGGGGTTCTGTCGACCCTCCTATGGAATCTGGTGGTAGACGACCTAATCAAGAGATTCGAGAGGAAAGCACCAAAGATAACAGCTTATGCGGTTGACATAAGCATAATTATCACGGGAGTCTGTCCATCGACCCTCAGTTCGATCATGGAAACATCGCTCAGGGAAATATGTGAGTGGGCGGAGAAGGTAGGACTCAATATCAATGCGGATAAAACGGACCTTATTATCTCCACCAAGAGATACAAGGTGCCGCAATGGATCCCCCCGAAAATTAACAAAACCAGGCTGACCCCGAAAACACAAGTCAAATACCTCGGTAAGAACGCATCTAAATCTAACCGCGGTTTGTTAGGCGATCGTTAGGCGATAGTTTTTCAGTGCAACTCTGATTTCTTCTTCTTAACAGTGAAAAGTTGACTGACACTACGAAAATGTAAACAAACTTGGCGAGGAACATTTGAAATCTAGAATTTAAAATGTGGCGCCATAGCTACAAACATGCCCAAAATAGTTGTTGGTGTTTTTTTTTTGTATATTCTTTTTTTAAAAATCCCAACCGTTCCTCACAAATGCGCTGTGTGGGAAGACAGTACTAACATAGTCGTGCGTTATTAATTATAAACCAAAGAGTGGCATATTCGTTGTCTTCTCCACAAACAAGGGTATATCAATTTAAATCTGAAGTTTGCGACACATTTTTGAGGACAATTTATCCTTAGCTTTATTGCCTTCAAAATATTTTACTTAACCTAGATTTATTGGGAACCAATTTTTAGTTTAAATTACTGACTTCAATAGACCAGATTAGTTCGTTAAACAGCTACCTTTTTTATATGCGAATTACCATATCACAAAAAAAAATTATCATTTATTTTTAACTATTTACAATTTTAATAGTTCTTATATTATTTACAGTAACATATTTACATTTATAGAATTTATATGGTAAATATGGGCTATCTTTATAAAATGTTTTGGCTTTGTCAAATGTTCATCATTACACAACAACATTCTGCATTTGGATTTAAAAGTTGCATTCAAGGAAATGGTAAGTATTTTTATCAATTATTACCACAAAAAATCATTTGCAATACCTAATAGATTTTTTTAGTGCCCATGTACAAAATTTCACCCAAACCTTAGCTCTAGTTTTTTAAGAAATCAAAAATATTAATAAACCAGAAAAGAAGCTCATTTCGCGCATTCCACGCCCACCGTCCTCCCAACTCCTCGGACAGCACCGCCTTGCATCTTATTGCACGTTCGTTTTTTAGATAGACGCTTAATGAAAATAGATACAAGTATTTGGAAACTTAGATTTACGAGCTTAGTCTTCAATACAGTTTTAAGTTTTTGAAGACTTTAAATGCCATTAATATTACCAAAGAGGCGGTTGTAATCAGGACATAAAACCCTTAAAGGTTCATGTTCTTCAAACTCTCTCCCACAATTATATACTACGAAGGAGATATATGTTACGTCCCTGTAAATTAGTTATACGTTAAGTACAAAAAGTCTAGAGTAAGACGGTAATTTTAGGTCTGTAACCCAAGTTAAGCCGCGGAGAGCGAAAGACAATTAGTTCTTTTGAACAGATTCAATGCGGTTCATATGGACTCTAAATTGGTGCAGCTGGCTAACTATTCTCATATATAGGACAAGCTAATAGGGATTGGATTTCCTTCGATCATCTTTTAAAAATTCCCAACACTCCTTTGGCTTCTATGCAGATACCCAGATCGTCAACAAGAGGTTTTCCTTTCCAAAAGGTTTTCAGTCTACCTTTTGAAAAGAATAACTATAAGTGATATACTGCATAGTGACACTTGACAATGTAATCAGTTTTCATTTTGAGCTATTGAACTGATATAAGTTAGCACGGCACAACGCTTGAAAGTTATTAAGATGCGTTTATAAGTCAGACTGGCATGAGATATATGTATACTGCATGCATAGTTTAACGTCGTTAACGTATATAAGTACTCTAGAGTTGGTTACAATAAGTGCCAGATTAAAAATGTTAATTACAGTTGGCCATGGGAACCTTGATGTACGCCAGATGTGACCATAGAAAAATGGGATGAAACGCATTTAAACATAACATTTTGAGTCCTGTTACTGAAATTAAACAAAAGCCGTTTAAGAAAATCAACAGGAAACTCCATTAAGTGGAGCGTCCGTACCACTTAAAAGAAGAAAATAATAAAACGAATCAAAAGCCTTACTGAAATCTATGTAAATCAAATCGACTTGAAAGTTACGTTGGAAACCCCTAATGACGTCTGACAACTTTGAGATTTTTCATAGTTACTGGTACCGATTTGCTACATATTTTGTGGACAGGAATAATAAATAATTGCTTTAAAATAGGGAAAAACCCTGAGGCTTCTAAAGACAAGAGCCTCAGAACAATACCTGAGCACGTAGCCCGGTATTCCATTGCAACCCGTTGGACATACTGGCGTAACACGTTGAAGATCCAGTCTAAGGGAGCTTTCTTTTAAAATAGGACTAAATCTTCGAACTTGTCACAGAGAAAAAGGATGTCTGCTTCAAACTGGTTGAGAAAGAATGTGAAGCAAAAATATCGGCGATGGACAGAGATTGCTGTCGTATTATTAAATAAAAGCGAGTAAGGACTTATATTTAGTTTAAGTTAAGTGTTAACAAAGTTATAAATCTGTTTCGTTTCGTGCGCGTACTGAACTCTAGAACGAGTCAAATAATTATTATTGTACTGAGCGTTGAGCACGGTCAATATCGATCGCGACAAAACAGTTTGAGAACCTGTGAGTTTAATAGTATATTTACACCGACCTGAGTTTCCTATCGAAATCGAAATGAACGCAATAACGCAAGACGCATTTTTGTCCTACAAAACTTGTGTTATTGCTTTAGTTTTGACAGCTTGTTTGAAATTATTTAAAACAAAAAATTGCTTGATAATATCAGCAATAGAGCAACATAAAGATGAAGTTCATGGATTTGGCTGGGATGTCTCCAGCAACCTTCAAGGAGCTTCAAAATTCAGGGATTGCCCTGTGTTCGGCTGGAGGGAAACCTCTCGATTCACTTTCGCAGAATAAGTAGGAAAAACAAACACTTCCCGCGCCGCAGTCACAGAACACCAAAGAAAAAAAAATCACCACCAAAATGAGTACCGCAAGAAAAAGTAGTAGGCCGGGGGGGCGTGGTTATTTTCAATGTTAACGAGTGGACGTGGTCCGCTTTATTCGAATTCATAAAGGTAATTAAAAATGTAAAAGCGGGAGTGAGAGATCAGAACCGCCAATCGCCCAGAGTCGAAAGCGTCCGCTAGAAGAGCGAGAGCGCAAGCTGCGCAAGAGCGCAAGCTGGGAGCGAGAGCGCGCTGAGGAGCTTCGAAGAAGCGGGAGCGCTTCGGAGTCGCGCGGGGGGGAAACGAAAGCTCCTGACCTGAACATTCCGCCCCCCTTGCAATCACTAGGGTTGCAACATAGTCTGCTCCTCATTACGGCGTGTGACAGGCCCCGGACAGGACCCATCCAAATACGGTGCTTTGGGCCACCGGCAATCCATCCTGTACTTTCAGGAACCCAGGCTGCATCACTTTAGGGTACACATCCGCGCCCAGGACGACGGAGATCGTAGCCGGAAGGTAAAAACGTTCGTCAGCTAAGGTGATGTCCTTGAAGTAATCCCGCACAGTCTCATCCAACTGTCGGATCGGAGTGCGGACACGCACGTGAGGCTCCACTTTGAAAACGAGATCGAGCCGGACATGGGCGTTCGTTTTCGAGCCGACGGTGGCTGAACAGATCTGTTCAGCACCCACCGCTGTCGTTGAAAGTCGCAAAGAAGTCGCCAGCGACGCGTCAATGAAGCTCATAGGCGTGCATGGGTCGATAAGCGCCGCTGTGTCGAACACTCGCATCCCGGTGTCAATCCGCACCAGCGCGGTCGGGAGGAGGTTCACGCTGTGTCGCTGAAGCAAAGTGGCCAGTGAAGGCCCTGTCGGAACTCTCTGCGTGGCGAATGCTGCGGTTCGTGGAGAGGCCGACGAATGCCGAGGAGAGGCCGAAGAATGCCGAGGAGAGGCCGAAGAGAGTTGAGGAGAGGCCGCCGAGCGCCGAGGAGAGGCCGACGAGAGTTGAGGAGAGGCCGCCGAGCGCCGAGGAGAGGTCGAAGCGTGGTGAAGAGAGGTCGAAGCGTGGTGAGCAGAAGCTGGAGCGCGACGAGAGGGCGGCGTCAACTGACGCGAACGGCGTAAATACAGCGGCTGCTCCTGCATATGCAGCAGTGTGTGGTGCTCTCCGTTGCAGATCTTGCACCTATCGCCACGCCGGCACGCTCCATCCGAATGCTCGTGAGCCAAGCAGTTGGCCCAATAGCGATTCGCGAGGACCGCGCGGAGCCTCTTTTCGATGCTCAGCACTTCCGTAGAGGGTGGACTCCGTGGCAGACTCGGCAACGGTAGGAATTTATACCTCGTGTACGTCGGCTCTCCATTTCGACGGCGCTACGTAGACGTGGGAACATTGGTTATAATCTGGAGTAGGATACAAAAGAAAGAATTAGTATGGAGTCGAAAATATGACTTAGAACTAGCGAAAGAAGCAAACTACGGAGTGAGGATACGGCTAATTATTGAGATTTTTCGGAGGTCGCCCCGGAAGCAATACGACTTTTGCGACAGGGCGCTTAACGATTCCCCGAGCAGTACGAATATTCACCACTCGGACATGACCATCGGGTCCGGGAAACACGGAATCAATCCTGCCGAGCCGCCACTCATTGGATGGCAGATTATCGTCCTTGATTATAACCATCTTGCCCACATCGAGATTTCTTAAGCCTTAAGTTGCTGCCACCGGTTGATAATTGAAGTGGACGCACCCTTTATTTCGGGTTCGACGGTGGCGAGAAGGGGTCCACCTACAAGAAAATAACCTGGCGTGAGTGCTAACAAGTCTGTGGGGTCTTCGGACATCGGGGCGAGTGGACGCGAATTTAGACAGGCCTCAATCTTGGCCAGCAATGTGGAAAGTTCTTCGAACGTATACTTTCGAGTGGCTGTGGATTTATAAAACAGCGTCTTGAAGCTTTTAACTCCAGCTTCCCACAATCCTCCCATGTGCGGGGCTCCTGGGGGTATGAATTGCCACAGGAGTTCTTGGTGACTATAAGCATTCGGCACGGACTCCTTGACAGCTTGCAGAAATTCACGCGACAGCACTGCGGCTGCCCCAACGAAGGTCTTCCCATTGTCCGACTGAACTTGTCGAGGGCACCCTCTTCGCGAAACGAATCGGGCGAATGCTGGAGAAATTTCTCTGTTGTGAGGTACGAAGTAGGCTCTAAATGGATGGCCTTCGTGGAGAAACATACAAACACCAGCACATAGCCCTTGGTAATCAGGCAGGCTCTCCCGGTGTAGTTCTTTATGTCAAACGGTCCGGCATAATCCATGCCTGAGTACGTAAAGGGCCGCGAAAAGGACGTTCTTTCCTTCGCTAATTCGCCCATGAGTTGAGTCTGCAGCTTCTTTTTGTAGATCACACATATTTTGCAGGAGAAAATTACTGACTTGACTAAGTTCTTGACCCTTGGTATCCAGAATTTTGAGCGGATCAGGCGTACCATTAGCTGATTACCGCCGTGCAAGGATATGCGATGCGTAAAGGATACAAGGAGACACGCCAACTGACAGTTGTATGGAAGAAAGATCGGATGCCGTTCATCATATTGGAGGACTTCGGAGGCCATCACCCGACCACACGCCCTGATGAGGCCGTGAGGATCAAGGAAAGGATTCATGTTCTTAATAGAACTGGACGCTGGAATTGGCCGCTTTTGGCTCAGGCAGGCATATTCAAGCGCAAAGTGTCTGCGCTGGGTCATGAAAATTAAGAGTCGCTCAGCTGTGGAAATCTCTGTATTGGATAGCTGCAGCTCGCCTGGAATAGGTCGTTTTTCCGCGCGCTGGAGCGCTGAACATAGGCGAAAACTCGTAGTGCCTTGTCGAGCTTGGAGAACCGCTCAAGCATGTCCTGCTCCGGGCATGCTAAATGGCAACGTATGGGTCGCTTCTCGATGTCGATGTCGGAAACTGATACATAAGGTGCAGGCCAGGAGTCTTGTGGCTGAGTTAGCCAGGAAGGCCCATGCCACCATAGCTCACTGGTAGCCAACTCTTCAGCCGCTACTCCACGACTGGCTAGATCTGCTGGGTTGTGCTCGGAACGCACGTGAGACCACTGGCTGGCATCAGTATTTTGAGCGATTTTAGTGACTCTATTTGCGACGAAGGTCCTCCACTGACATGGTGGCTTGTTCAACCATGCTAGCACAATAGTGGAATCAGTCCATAGAAAAGTTTCTATACGACCGAAAGGAATCTGAGGCAGAATTGCAGTCCACAAGTTTGCCGGAAGGACGGCTCCACACAGTTCTAGACGCGGGAGCGAGACGGTTTTTACCGGAGCGACTTTGGTCTTTGACGTTAGAAGATTTGATGAAATGATTCCATCACGCTGGATGCGAACGTAAATCGCTGCGCCATAAGCCTTTTGAAAATGTACCCAACGCGGGATGCGAACTTGGTGGAGGAAACTGTAGCTCCGAAGGAAATCATGCCAGCGATGTAGTAGTTCTGCAGGAAGAAACTCATCCCATTCGACGCTGGCTAACCAGATATCCTGCATCAGGATTTTGGCCTGAACCACAAATGGGGAGAGCCACCCAGCTGGGTCGAACAATTTCGCGATTTGGGATGGACGTCGCGTTTCGAATAGTTTGCCTGAATGGTGACCTCTGTTGGGACAAAATAGAACTCATCCGTCGTAGCGTTCCACCGTACTCCCAATGTCTTAGTGGTGCTGACCTCTTCGAGATCAAGAAAGTCAGTCGAAAGTAGATGCTCTTTAGGAAGTGCTTTAAGGAGTGCACGTTCATTCGATGTCCACTTGCGGAGAGGGAATCCAGCTAAGTTCAGAGCTGCTTGCAGCTCCTGAATGGCTAAAATAGCTTCAGCTTCTGTATGGGCTCCTGCTAGCACATCGTCGACATACATATAATTTGAGATTATATGCGACGCCCGTGGATATTGGGCGTTGACATCGTCGGACAATCGTTGCAGTGTTCGTAGGGCCAGGAAAGGGGCACAATTCACTCCAAACGTGACCGTCTGAAGCTCGAAGTCGGATATATCCCCTTGGCCATTTCGAAAGAGAATCCTCTGAAACGGAGTGTGCTCTTGGTTTAGGAGAATTTGCCGATACATCTTGGTGATGTCGGCATTGAAAACGAATTTAAACGTCCGCCACTTCAGGATTTGAAGAGTGAGATCGGACTGCAGTACTGGCCCTGGATACAGAATGTCATTAGGGCTGTTCCCATTGGAAGAAGGACTGGATGCGTTGAAAACTACACGAACTTTCGTGGTCGCACTTTCGGGCTTGAATACTGCGTGATGGGGTAGATAAAAATTTATCTTGTCGGTATTCGGAGGCACCGGCTTCATATGGCCAAGATCGATATATTCTTGGATCACTGAGTCATAAGTGTCTTTGAGAGCAGGCTCCTTTTTCAAGCGAGTCTCATTCCTCAGAAACTGTGCGAGTGCGGAACTCCTCGAATGCCCCAAGTCAATGTGCTCTGAATCTTTGAAGGGCAGGGATACTATATATTTCCCGTCGCAGGATCTGGTAGTTGTTCGGACGAAAAAGTCTTCACACAACTTGTCCGTCTCCTTTACCAGTCTACATGGAAGGTCCTCCACCTCCCAAAATTTTGTGAGAAGTGTTTCCATGGTTGCTTCGGACTCTATGGATATCTGTGTGGTAAAAGACGCAACCCTACTAGTGGTTGAAGACACTGGGCCGGTCAAAATCCACCCGAAAATGGTCTCTGGCGCTAATAAAGACCCACATACGTTTGGCCTCCAGCCTGATAGCAGGACAGACGGAAGAATATCCGCACCTAGAAGAATTGTGCTTGTCGGAAGATTGCCGGCCAGGTTCGGCAGCACAAACGCCGTCGTGTCGATCTTGAGCATAGGTTTGGCCGGAGTGCCCATCTGGAAATGACACATTTTTTGTGAGACACCGGAATTGGCTTGGTTGAGCCCTGTGACTCTTGTTGTTACGGCTTGAAATGGAAGTTTAATTCGGTTGGCAAGCCTCTCAGAAATGAAAGTGCCTTCGGAGCCTGAATCTATCAGGGCACGGGGTGGAAAATTCTCTCCTCGGTGGCACACATGAACTATGGCCGTACCTAGAAGTACTCCTTGTTGGTTGGAGGCGAAATGAACTGACGTGTTTGAGATTGGCTGCTCAGGAGGGTGAGCCGGCGCTGTGCTAACAGCATTAGACAGATTATCTTTGTGCAAGAGCGTATTATGCCGTCCCCTGCATGTGAAGCAACTATGACTGCTCGGGCATTCACGAAGATTATGTCCCCTTACAAAGCAATTAAGGCACACTCTCTTTCGTTTAATATATGATGCTCTTTGTGGTTGAGTCATCTGGAGAAAGCGAGGACAAAGCCGAACTGGATGAGGCTCTCTGGAGCAGAGATCACAAAATCGTGCGCGTGGCCCGACTTGTGTCTCGAAGGTATTTACCCTCCTTGGTTGGGCACTTCTGGGCTCCCTTGAATGCTGTGTGCTGGAAGAATTGGGTCGAACATCCTCAATTGCTTCCAACGTGCGATATCTCTCCTCTAGAAAGGAATTCATTTCTTCCCATGCTGGGATCGCGGACTTATTGGTCAAGGACTGCTCCCATAACGAGAGAGTGACCTTCGGCAACTTGGAGGAGATTAGAAAAATTAGAAGGCAGTCCCAATTTTCCGTGGAAATTTGTGAATGCTCGAGGGCTATCAAGCACCCTTGGATTGTGCTCTGCAGATCTTTCAAGGCCGTGCCTGATTCACTGCTTAGGGTCGGAAGACTAAACAGGATTTTTAGTTGGCTGTTTACCAACAATCGCTTATTTTCAAATCGATCCTGAAGCGCTGACCACGCGGATTGGAACCCATCATTAGTCAGCGGAGACTTGGCCACAATGGCGTGAGCTTCGCCGCTAGTTTTGGCGTTTAAGTGTAAAAGCTTTTCCACTGGAGTTAACCTGGAATTATTTACATAAATGGCCGTAAACAGGTCACGAAAAGTGGGCCAGCGCAGATAATCTCCGTCAAAGATCTCTGTATCGCATGGCGGAAGACTGCAACCCCTCGAGAATGTCTCTGTCGGCGGAGCTGTTCTTGGCGGTGAAGTGGGGGCGGACATACGGTCGATGTCTTCATTTAGCTTCGAAGCACATCTTTCGTACACCGCATAGCAGTGCTCATATTTGTTTTGAAGTAGCGGAAGATTTCCGCTACCTCCCTCGCGAAGAGCTGCTTTGGAAGCGGTTTCATACTCCCGTTCAACCTTTTCCCATAAGGATTGTATCTGATCCAGACGGATCTTTAAGGTAAACGAACTAGGCTCGGAAGGGGATGCCGTAAATATCTGGCTTTCAAATTTGCTAAGACGGTCGCTAGTTGCTATGAACTCAAGCAAAATACCGTCTAAAGTGCTCTTGGCTTTGGATCTCAAATTACTTGACGGTCCCGCGCCCGTGTTTCTCGGACTCGGTTCCCGCCTTTGACTTCCATCTATTGAAGGCGCTAACTGCGCTCCCTCCCTCTTCTGACTCGCGTCTTGCGGAATTGATTCTTGTCCTTCCGAAATTTTTTTTTGATTGGATTGGAAAGAATATGCCGTAGAATTCGAATGTTAGACTTATTTGCTCCCAATACCGTCAACTAAATCGACGAAGTAGAAATGTGAGACGGTAAAAACGAAACGAATCTGGATGGCAAGAATATGCCGTAGAACTCGCATGGTAGATGGTGGATTGTGGAATTAACCAATCTCAGAATTGCAAGTAAATAAACTGGAAAAAAATTTACTTGAAGTAGAAGCGACGATAATCGAAAATATGTGTAGAGGACTCAATATTAATTGGAGCAGATGCGACGTGAATCGAAAATTTATTTGTAGTGGAACCAATATTAATTGGAGCAGATGCGACGAGAATTTAAAATTTATTTGACCAAATAACTAATTGCTGGACGGAAATGCCGAGTTGTTTATTATTTTCGTATTTAATAATAACCCAATAAATGCAACAAAAATATATATATATGGCAGGGGTGCCCAAACGTTGCTTATGGCAGAGCAACGCACCAATACACATAAATGAAAGCACAAATACATTTACGCAAAAGTTTTTTTTTACTTCAAATTTCTGCACTGAAAAAAATGAAAGTAAATTCAAATTAAGATATCGAAAGTAATAAAAATACATGAAAATACATTTTAACAATGCATTGGGGCTCACCATAGCAATTTTTACAAAATAAAAAATTAGATTCTGCAATATCAAACATCTTGCCCGCAACGCAAAATACAACTGATTTTTCGCGATGTACTTTTTTCGGCGATTCAACAACAATTTACATTCGGACAAGCGAGATAACGGTGAAGCCTATGAAAGTGTTGTTGCCGAGATCAACGAAGACGTGGAGAATGAAGAGAATACGCAAAATTGTTTGTGTAATCTGCTTTGCTTATGGAGTGAGCCGTGCATGCATACGGCGATTGCTCTGCCTATGCTAAAGAGCAATTACAAAAACAATGCGAGCACAAAGAGCTATGGGCTGGGCATGACTGATATATGGAGTAACCTTGACAATTGCGGGTATTTAATCGAGTGCAAATCTTTAAAAGTAGTTAATGATCAATAAATTGATTAATTATTAATTAATACAAAAATTAATTATAAGGAAAAAATAATTCGATCGGAATGGTGGGATCGGAACACCTGACACCTTTCTTCTCAACTCAATGTTCGTTGGGATGCGCTGCCGGCAATGTAAAGCTCTTGGTTATGTATGTATGTATGTATGTAGATGTCGCAGCGGCAGCGGAACTATGTAAGGCGCGCCAATAAAATGCAGAAAAAAGACGGACACTGGCTTACAAAGTTTTGTTTCAATATTTATTCTTTATTATATTTATATTTATATTTCTTGTTTTAAAAATGTTGTATGTAAATGTATGTGGAATGTATGTATGTGTATGGGGATGAAAATATAATATGTAATATATGTACATATCTGTTTTATCTGGAGAAAATATAATATGGATTTATAATATAATAATATATGTATATATATGGATGTTAGCGGACTGTATTTCGATTATTAGTAATTTTTATTATTGGAATTTCATTTTCTATCGTGCTTAATAAAAATCAATGTCTTTATGTAAGCCGATATGTATGGACATATGTATGTATTTTATTCTTGTGTCGGAACCGTTTTGATGTACGGATAAATGCCAATATGTATAGAGGAAAGCGGACGAAAAAGAATATGGCGACGTTTAAAACGGAGACGGATTGAAAAAAATTTTGCAAATTTTAGGAAATGGAGTTGAAAAATCCGGAATCCAAAAATCCAAAAAATCCAAAAATCTAGAATCCGGCTCTGAGGACCAAATGTTCGGCTGGAGGGAAACCTCTCGATTCACTTTCGCAGAATAAGTAGGAAAAACAAACACTTCCCGCGCCGCAGTCACAGAACACCAAAGAAAAAAAATCACCACCAAAATGAGTACCGCAAGAAAAAGTAGTAGGCCGGGGGGGCGTGGTTATTTTCAATGTTAACGAGTGGACGTGGTCCGCTTTATTCGAATTCATAAAGGTAATTAAAAATGTACAAGCGGGAGTGAGAGATCAGAACCGCCGATCGCCCAGAGTCGAAAGCGTCCGCTAGAAGAGCGAGAGCGCAAGCTGCGCAAGAGCGCAAGCTGGGAGCGAGAGCGCGCTGAGGAGCTTCGAAGAAGCGGGAGCGCTTCGGAGTCGCGCGGGGGGGAAACGAAAGCTCCTGACCTGAACACCCTGAACACCTTGGGATCATCTGCGGAATACCGCACTATAGCGAGGTCCCTTGCCGTATCCAGAGCAAAAGTGTGCAATAAGGGAGTAAAGGGACAACCTGATCAAGAAACTTGTATACGAAATGCAAGCAGTGCTGAACGCATTAGGCAAGCGCACATTTCCAATAAATACTTATTGATTTGCATATACATTTTAAATTTATAGATTTTTATTTTAATTGTTTTATGTTTCTTTCTGTCTTCCTGATGAAGCAGAGTCCGCTTTTTTTCTCTTCTACCAGTTTTTCCAATTGGTCCGGACAATTCTTTCACTAACTAGTCTCAGGAATAGACGACTGGCTAAGACATTTTCCGTCCAATCCCCTAAAAGTGCCCCCAACGACAGCTCTCCTTCTTCACACATTGTGTATCACACAAATCTATTTTCGGCCATTTTTGAAATCAGATTGAATTATTTGAATTATCAAGACATTTTCCATCCAATCCCCTAGAAGTGCCCCAACGACAGCTCTTCTTCACACATTGTGTATCACACAAATCTTTTTTCGGCCATTTTTGAAATCAGATTGAATTATTTGAATTGTCAATCGTCCGATTTTTTCCGATTTGGTGGTGAACTTGTTCGATAGTCCGAATATCGAGTAAAAATCTAACAAATTTGTTGTAATCGACACGAAAAACGAACAAATCTGCTGTTATCGATATGAACGCAACTTGGACGCAACTTTTTCCCACCACTTAAAACTACTAATAAAAAAAATACCTTTACTGAGTTAGCGCAATAACGCAGCCTGGTGTAAATAGGCCCGAAGTTTGTCTAATCGTTATCGATACAAAGTAATGAATCACTTTTAAAAATGGCATCTCACTTAAACATATCCGTGTTCTGTTTATTGTCAAAGCGATTTTAGCCTATCTGTTTGAGTTCGCCTTGGTGTGACAGCGTGTTAGGTATGGGTAGCTGTCAATGATTGAAAATGAGCTGGTGAAAATTAAAAAGAAGATTGGACCACACGAGAAAACGCATCAAATCACAGCCGAGGAAACGCACAACTCGACATAATAATATCGGAGAAGTAACGGATTCCAAAGACATATTGGACATCAGAAGTTTGATTGCATCAGCCTCCTCAGCTCCAAGTTAACCCTAATAACCGTTTGTGCGCTTTACAGAATATGAGGAACTGTTTAATGGAAGTAGTGAGTGTAATGTAAATTGGTGCGTTGCCAAAGCTCAACCTTGATTCCGCTGGTGGTAGATACCTGGTGGACCTTATTGCAGAGAAAATCATGTAGAGGGCAGGGCTCTTCTCCTGGCACTAAGCAAGTCACTGGAGACCAGTTGATCTGTAGCCAATTGGAACATTGATTTAATCTGGTGAGTCGCATTCATTTTCCTAAGGACCGTTCCAACTTATATACTAGTGACAGTAGTCCGAAGACTCTCTGCTAAGTTTCATTCTTATAGCTCCAAAACTAAGAGACTGGCTTGCATAGAAACGGACAGATGGATGGACTGAGCTCAATTTTTCTTATTTTTGGAATATTGATACAAACGAGGACGTGGGAAGTATAAATCTTTATCGATATATAGTATTGAAGTTTCTAACAAAAAAGAAAGCCTACCCTGGCAGTTTGTAACTGGATTATTAAGAATCATAAAAAAAGTAACGGAGATATGTAGAAAAATATATATTTATAAACAACATATAACAATTTGTTTTTGATAAAATTTCAAAAACATGTTGTATAAAATAACAATATTTTGAATCTGAAATATCTTATAT